AAATTATCAGGATCCTCTACACGTGGAAATTCGCACCTACATATCTTCTTTTCGTCCGAAACTGAAATAAGTGTATCTTGAAATTTGAACACAAGCTTTGTAATGTAATATTGTAACATTATGGGACTCTTGTGTTATGAAGAAATTTCGAGACCATGTTAAATAGTTTTACTTCTAGGTACCATGTTATATCTGAAATTCCTATATTGTTAAATGTTAAATATGAAACTACTTGCCGTTAAAGGAGTGAGGAGTGATCGTATAGTGAAAGTGAAACGTGTACAGCATTTTTGCGTTGTGAAAAAAAATGCATCCCGGACCGCGCCGTGAGAGGATCGAAAACATAAAACATATACAAGATATAAAGGAAAAGTTCATATTAAATATATAAAGAAAACATACTGTAAGAGGTTCCAGATTAAATATCAATTTATTCAATTACAACACAATAAGAAAAATATTAACCTCATCTGAGAGTTGTTCATTTAAATTCATAAAAAAACTTAAGGTTTGTCTGGTGATTTAAAGAAAGGAAAGGGAAACAATTTATGGCCTGATGAGAGTTAAATTTTGGATTCGACGTTGTTTTTACTGCTAAGGACGTTTTTTTGGAAAAACTGCCTAAAGTTCCAAACACACCAAAAAAAATAATACTTATCTTGAGGGGACATCTTGAAGTGGAGGAGAGCTCATATCTTAGCTCTATCCTTACGTCACTTGGCAAATCCGCAAGACAGAGACTCGAATCGGCACGACAATAAATTACATCAGCTATACCGTCAATCTTACGCCTGCTACTGGTTTCCATAGAAGAAAATTGTTCCCATGGAAGCAGAGAAACAGCTTACACCGCACGGCTGTCTGCCTAGACTCTCAGCTCCACCAAGGAAACGTTAGACAATTAAGCTAGGCATTTTAGAGAACGGCTAACGCAGGCTTCCAGTTGACTAAGGTGACATAATTCCTTCTGTTTTCAAGTCGGAGTTCAGAGGACATCGTCCTGACTTTTGCCGATACAGATATAGACCCAAGTCTCTGTTAAGTTTTTGTTATTCGCTCAACAGTTTTTTTTTTTCTTCGCATTTTTGAGAAAACCCGCGGCCGGGGAGCATAATTGCCGCTTCCCGCCAGGAAGCGCTGCTCGAATGACGAACTAAATCTTTTCCTTTCTCCTTCGCAACACCCACAAAATTTTTCTCAGTCTCCGTCAACAAGTCGTCAAGCCCGAAAGTCAGCGAATCCAAGCAGTGAGTGCCTAAGCGAGTCAAGAGTAAGTGTGTCTCGCCTCTTAACCAAACGCGGCCGGGGAGCATATTTGCCGCTCCCCGCCGGAAAACATCCCGCTTCGTAATTACATTTTGTCCAGCAAGCCGAAAACAGCGAGTCAGTCAGAGAGTGCCTAAGCGAGTCCAGAGTAAGTGTGTCTCGCCTCTTAACCAAAACGAGGCCGGAGGAGCATATTTGCCGCTCCCCGCCGGGAAAACCTCTCTCTTCGTAAATTACATCTTGTCCATCAAGCTTTCGAAAATCAGCGAGTTCAGTCAAGAGTAACGTCCACAAGTAAGTTCGAGCCCAGCCAGTAAGTGTGTATCCAACTCGAATTTCCTTCGTCTCCTTCACAAAACGGGCTCCCACTATGGCTTCACTTATCGCCCCCTTAATTATGGCAAAATCTTCGTTTTCAACTCCAGAATGCGGAAATAAGGGTGATCGCGCATGCGCGCCCTTCTTCACTTAGCCAACAACCGGACCCTCAATCGCCAAAACCTGAATGACTTACATTGAAAGACAAGTAGCAACCTTTGACCTTTCCGTCACGTACTTTCCTCTCTTAAGGTCAACTAACAATGAAAATTCTTTCTCGAACATTCTAAAGCGCGCGAAATCATGACTTGGCGAAAATTGCCTCCCTTTCCCTGCTTCTTTCACAATGAATAAAAGTTTGTACAAGATTTACAAATAGAGGAAAATAAATAATACTCTTTTAAACTAAATAATATTTCCAGAAGCATCTGTTTTTCCCCAAAATTAAAGCCTTAAATTAAATAATTCAGAATCAAAATAAAATTTAAATTTCCATAAATCATAAAATCATTCACCTAATTTTTTTATAACGCTATCAGATAATTTCTCTACATAACACTTGTTTAGTTTCACTGCCCCCAAAAAGTCCATGACTCATCATTTCTTGATCTACAAGTTTCAATCCTAGTTTCTCCGCAATATCTTTTCGTATGAAAGATCTCTGAGCACCAGTATCAAATAATCCACGAACGATTCCGGACTTATCACCATTGATGATTTTCACCAATACAGTTAACAATAACGTTGGAGATTTTTTTGGTGACAAAAGAGCCTGTGCATCCGATTCAGATTGTTTGTCTTGTTTTGATTGATTTATATTTGGACAAATAATGCTATGGTGTTTTTCCCCCCCTGCATATAATACAATTTAAATAAGCTTTGCAGATCTTAGAATTGTGTCCTGGTTTTCAAACAGACGAAACAAGCTTCCCTTTTCTTCAATGTTTCCCTTTTCGCCTCCTACTGACATCTCTCGGCAGCCTTAAAAACATTCTGAGGTATTATGAAACGACTTATTACAAAATAAGCAATGCTTGCTATTTTTTCTCAGCTCTTTGCTTTTCATTAGATACAATACAAGCTGCAGTAGGAATTTTTTCTTTTCGTTTTAAATTTTTTCAAATTCTTGATCATTCGCAAACCCTGATTCGAGCAAGTTGTAATCGCTCTTCACTTTTGACTTCCAAACGAAGAAATTCTAATAAAGTTTCCTAACATGTTCATTCTTGTCTTTATTTTCTACACGGTTATGTGTGCGTTCCCACTCCTTGATAAGAAGCTTCTGGCAGAGCTGATTCTACTAAAGGGATATAACATTGCTTCATATTTTTCAGACGTTACCCCATTAAGTCTCTAATGCTCGCAGCTGAGTCTCCAATTTATCATAAAGAATCCGCAAAGTAAAATTTTCGCCACTTTTCGCTTGTGCGTTAAAACTAGATTTAAAAGTTCACAAAACATAAATTTGAATTAATAGTTCATCTTTAGCAAAACGAGATTTCAGCTGTTCAATAGCATTATAATAGTTTTCGCCCAATGGTGGAAAACTTGCAACCAAATCTCTAGCCGATGAACCTTCTTCAGTTGCTTGTAAAAGATACTGAAATTTATCATCTGCATCAATGCTATCATCATCATGAAACTTTTTAAATTGTCCCCAGAATCCTAGCCAGTTTTTAATATTATCATCAAAACGTTTCAATTCTAACTTAGGAAGATGGAAATTTCGCTTCGTTTCATTTACGACACTGGAAATATCGCCCTTTCTTTCAGTGGTTGGTAACATTAAATCAACTTTCGTTTTCATAACAACCCACTGATTTCGATAGCTTTCCGTTAACTCCATATCATTAGAAAATTCATCTTCATTAAAATTTTCCATTTCTAGCCATTTTACTTTAACTTTTTCATCTAACTGAAACAATCTGTCAGCTTTATCATTAAATATGTTAAATACAGATATCAAATCCATCTTACTTACTGCTTCATCTTTTAGAACAGTGTCCACTTCTTTCAAAGAAGTTGTGAAATATTGCCGTAATTGGGTTCTTTCCCGTTTTAAATTATCCATAGTCCTGTTCCACGGACGCCAATATTTTAAAGGATTCGAAAATAACTATGGATTTAATATGAAAAAACACTTTAATTGCAGATATTTCCAAAAAATTTAGAAGCAGTTATTCTTACAGAAACGATAGAACTTATTTTTAAAACATAAACTTAAAACAGAGTTGAGTTGTAGCTGGTATTACTGAAACACCAATAATTCTTGATTCCGATACCAATAACAACATTAATCTTTGAAAGGGATTTTATTATTATTATCGTATATCCATTCGCTATGAAATCGAAGGAATTCGAAGAGATGAATAATAAAATCTTAAAATGGCGCAGTATTGCACAAATATTCTGTAAGCAATCAGGGAGCTGATTATATCAAACATAGAATTAAAATTATTTAAATAATCATACATAATAACATCATTTTTCCAAAAATTATGCAAAATGAAATTGTATTTTAATATTTTACAGCCATAAATAATGTTTAAAACATTAGATTAAATTTATAGATATTAAAACCAATTACTTTTAAAGTAAGGTGACGTCATTGATTACATCATCCACAACATAAAATTATATAAAATATCATAAACAATAAAATTTTTATTTCAAATAAAAATGCAAAATTAAATTGATTTTTAATATTTAGAAATCATAAATAATATTTAAAACACGTAATTTATGCATAATAAAGAGCATTCTTTTTAAATAAAATGACAACCAAAGTATCGGTTGCCATGAATAACTTGTCCAGCAATTGAGTTACCATAAGTCGTATCGCTGGCCAAAAAAAAATCGCCAAAATCTGTGCAACCGTCTCCCAGAGTAGCACCCAAGGGACACCCAATTGTAAACTTCTACCGAAAACTTTAATGTTCGGCGAACGTCATAAATTTGCAGTTAACCTACATGCCGCATCACTCTTATGAGTCGCGAACAGTGGCTGAATTGCACAGAGACATCCCTAACATTTACGACATACCGCTATGAAGTAAGTTTACCAATTATATTCAAAGAAAATCAAATCATTGCTCTTAAATCCAAAGTACGCGGTACGGCTTTGGCGCGATTTTGAAAATTGTCGTTAATACCAAAATGACGCATTTAAACTTTATCGCCTCCCGAATTTTGCTAAATCTCGTGTGTACCGTATACTAAGATTAAACCTCTAAGACTAAGTAAATATTTCTCTTTAAGTCGCCACCCTGTTTCTTCAACTGAAGATTAACTCTAGTTAAATAAGAGAATGTGAATAATTTGTTATGAAAGTTGTAGTGTAGGGTTCAGTCACGATCCACCTGTTAATCAACTACTTGTAGAATATTTCGTTAACTTCGATTACTATTATCACTTACCTGGTATACTTAGCTTATCATGCCGATACAAATCTATAATAGGACCATATGTTCGCTCCCACTGACGCCTGGCTCTGTTTTCTTTGAAATAACGTTCTTGGGTTATCCTCCGGTGGTAATCGCCACAAGGAATTGGACGAGAATATTCATGCCATTTCTTTTGCAGAGGCATATTAGGGGGCCCTGTTTAAAAAACTGAGGAGTAAATAAACTTTTACGATGCTTTGATAATTTTTAGAGCAAGGCGTATATAAAATGGTTTTATTTACAAATTAAATTGAAATTCCTTTCCTTAATCTGTAACTTTTCCTTTGTTGCCAATTTAATATCAAAAATGGTTAAGAAAAAAAAATTAGCTGAGCTCGAAGGTTTAATGTAAGTTGTTAAACTCATTCATGTGCGAAAGCGTAAACAAGTGAATTACTGAAGTTAAAAGATGGGAATTAAAATATTTAAAATATTTGAAAACCAGACATAAAAAGATTAAATAAAATTATCCTAGCGGAAGACTTTAAATCATATTATTACACATGATTTATTTTCCATATAAAAGTACTTTCTGAAATTTTTATCAGTTGCTGTGATAATGATGCGGTGTTGCCACAAAATGTAGGTGAAAAATCTGTAACATTTGTTTCCAGCAAAAAAAGATATTTGGGCCTTTAAGTATGCTTTTGTTTTAAACTGCATATTTTTTCCAGTTTTTCATTTCTGTAAAACCTCAAGTAATGGTAAAAATCATTTGTACTCAAAACATTTTTCCTGTTCAGAATAGTAATTCATTTGTGTTCACATTCCGAGCGTTTTTCTTGAGACGCTTGTTCAGGAATTTGATAAAAAAATAAAAGGAATCAAATTATAAAATTTAATTTTTTGTGCTTGAAATTACTACATGATGTCAGTAAATTCACAAAATTTTAATTGTTCAAAATAGTATATGAAATTAAATCAATCCGAAAAGCAATTTCAGAGTGATTCTCACTCTTGACCCTCAGCAAGTAAGTATAGAGGGGGGAATGCACATCTTTTTTAATGTACACAGCGCCAAAAAAAGGAGGGGGCAGTTCTATATCTCCCGTTCTACTGGGCGGATTGACGAAAATTAACTTGCGTTTTTCATGTTTCGAAAGCGCGACTTAGGATATGTATTAGCATTTATATATTGTTCTAAATAGGTATTTTGACACAAAATCGGACTTTTTATGAAATAACATACCAATTTTTTCCCTATTTCCATTCTGCAATTCAATTTACGCCAAACTAACGAGTTTTGTAAACATCGCACGAATAGTTTCTTAAAAAAATAGTTCTCAAAATTTTAGCTCCTCAATGTTAATTGAATTTGGTATATATTTATTAATCTCTCTTTTTTTTTATTAAACTTATTTGATTCTTCCTTTCACATTTCGAAATTCAGGTTCATCCCAAATAAAATTTACCCATTTTTTATGATTTTTTTAAAATTTGTATTTTTAAATAATTTTTATAAATTTTCAAAAAATATTTTGAATTATAATCTATAACATTTTCACCATCATCTTAAAGTAGACGTATTTCTAAGCATACCTGCAAAAAATTGCAGTTTTTTATTCAAACTTTCGAAGGATATACTTTAATTTATATATTGACGCGTTTTAAAATTTGGCATATTTGTTGAAAGCCTTAAAACATCAAATGTGGTTTAGACACATTGCTAAAATTATTTGAAAGTAGGAATGAAGTGACTTTTTTCCGCTCATGTACAACGTAAAAAGGTAGGAACGAGGTGCCTTTTTACCTTTCCGGCATAATGGAAGAGAAAGAAAAATTGGTGGCCATATGTGAAGAAATTCGCCAAGTGAATTATTCTTGGCGCAAACTGAAAAAATTGCGCCGAGATAAATTTTTGAATTTCTCTGTAAATTTCGCAAAAAATTTTATAAAATTTAATATCAAGGGATAATTTGAGAAGTAGAATCGAAATCTGAAAAAAAAAATTGTATGCTATTTCAGAAAAAGTCCTATTTTGTGTCAAAATACCTACGTTAGAACAATACTATATATAAATCTAATATATATTTTAAGTCACGCTTTCGAGACATGAAAAACGCAATTTGAATTTTGTCAATCGGCCCAATAGAACGGGAGATATAGAACTGCCCCCTTCTTTTTTTTTTTTTTTTTTTTTTTTTTTTTTTTTTTTTTTTGCACAGTGTAACACCAAATAAAGTTATACGTATCTTAAGGAACTTTATACTAATTTTGTACATCGAAACTCTGCCTATCCAAAAAGCTCCGTAAGTTAACATATTCCAAATACAGCTGTACAAGCTTTCTGAAACGAAACAATTATGTTAACGAGCATTATCTTTAACCCTTTCCGGCAAGCTACCTTTTAAAGTTGCATTTTTGATAGTAAAAAAAGGTAGGTAGTTTAATCAGGCCTAGAGGAGTACACAAGTAAAATTTTGTGAAGATAGCACTTATCGTTTAATTCTGTAGGTGTGCCCAAAGCGAGCACACTGATTGGGAATAGAGCTCCGAAAAGAGTGCTGAAACGAGCATTGTTGTCAATGAACTGACCGATGAGATGCGGAGAAGCAAAGAATACAGACTCTCAGTTGTCCCAGATGATCGGTGAGCCCAGTCTGGCCACACCTAGGGTTCGCCGTTTGATTTTAGGCAAGATTTCAAGGTAAAAATTTAAAACTAATATAGAATAAGGAGATTAGCATACAGCCAAAACATAACATAGAAATATCTTTTCAAACAATTCTTTTTATACCCTAAAAAAATCTGTAAGATTTCTTTGAAAAATGAGGGTCTTAAAAAACTAAACATGGCTAAAATATATGGACTGGTTTGTGTTGAGCTGCCATCTACTATAAATAAAGAAGGTTCAGAGTAACCTATAAATCCTTTTTCATTCAATTTTTCTGTGCGTACAGAAGGAAATTTTTAGATGTGTCCAGTTTTGAATTTGGCTTGTTCTGGATCACTAGAATGCAACTATCTTCTAAGCCATTGAAAAGTCAGATAAAGATAATAAAGTTCCCTCAAACTATAGATCCACAAATTTTCTTCCATCCATATCTAAATAATTTGAACCAATTACCATAAAAACGAATAGAATAATACTTTTGTATGAATGCTGCTTAAACCAACACAGTTACGTTTCAGCAAGATCATTCAATATTATATTAAGTTGCCAGAACTAAAAAAGCAAAACTAATGAATTTTTTAACAAAAGGCAAATGATGGCGGCCTTCTTTTCCATCTCAAATAATTTGATCTCCAAACGCATTGTCTACAAATATAATGAGATGAAAATGTATTTATTTACCCCGCATTAAATGTGTTAAGCCAATATTTACTTCATAACTCTTTATATCTTGTAATAACGCCTTTTAAAATAACAGGAACAATCAAATGCTTACATTAGAATTATTTTCCTTAAATGTGACAAATTAATGTAAATTTGTTTGTTAAAACATGCACAAAATTCAAAGCAAAATAATTTATTGTAACACTTAAAGGATTTTGGTACTAAATAATATTTATTAGCCTAAAAGAGTATTAGCCCAGAAGAGCTATTAGTCTCAGAACAATATTTTACGTTGAATCACTATAAAAATCTGAATCACTTTTCAAATTGCTGCCACCAAATATTATCACCCTGTGTTATGTTTAAGGACATTAAATAAATATTGCATGAATGTATGCATGTTTTTCGCACTGTGAAAATAACGATCCCACATTATCATTAACGTAGTCCTCCATCCGAATATGGACACCTTGAAGCCCGAATTTTTAGTTTCGAATTTGTTTTATTGTGTATTTTATATTTAGTAAAATTTTAACGAATTTTTGATTAACAAACTTCGTAAACTCAACGATTTCAAAGGGAGCACTGTATGTGGAAAAAAATGATTTCCAGCGAGCGAGACTGTCTACGGAAAATTCTAAAGATAGATTGCTTTTAAATGTTTTGCTACAGTGTAGAATTGGGTGCCCTTTCAATACGCGACAATGTTTTTTTTTTTTTTTTTTTTTTTTTTTAATTTTTATTTTGGCGAGGAAACCTTACTTTTGGTTACCATGATAATTTTAGCTTTGTTTTAGCTTCCTGATTTTACTTAAATGAAAATAGATTGATGTTTACATGGACAAATTTAAGCAGTGCGCAATGCCTAGTTTGTGCAATTCTAGGTTGTTTTTTTAAGTGAAAACAGAATCGATGTGTTAATGGACACAGAGTTTGTGCAATTCTTTGACTTCTTAATTTGGTTTTGTTTAGCGGCCATCTTGAAATTGCGCCCTCCTGGCGCCGATCTTGGCGTCAAAAAAGAATCACCAAGAAACAAAGGGCACGCAATTGTAAACTTTTACCAAATATTTTTAATTCGAAGGAACATTAGCTCAAGTGCTCTCGAAACATGTATGCGTATGTAAATGAAAAAAACGCACCTTTAGTCGTAATATAAAATCTGAAGGATTTCATATTTTTTTCTTTTTTGTTTAAATGAAAATAAATTTAATATTTAGCAATCAGATAAGTTCAGTAGTCATGAGGATATGCAGTCAGCATCATCAAAAGGATTCTGACACTATTGAAAAATCTTCGTTGTTTCCAAAGAAAATGATATAACGAAAATTTAACATTATTTTAATATTGTTGCGTGCGTACGGGTTCGTTATGAAACGAATGCACAAGTCCGATAAAAAATGAACAAAATTTATTATTATTACAACAAACATGCTTACATTTCCTCAGATATTTGTGCAGTATTACAATATCTCACAATAGTTATTTTTTAACTACTCAAACGTTCAAGAGAACTTATTTCAAAACAGCTAAAGAAAGCTAATCCGCGAATTCGCTACATTCAACAAGAGCAGTTTTCTAAACAAACTCTTAAAACAACAACAAACTAACTAACTGAACTGAGAGGTTTTCCTCCTTTTTTTTTTAGATTTTAAATAGAGCGCGAAAATTTTCTGGAACTTTCTCGAAATCAAAAAGAGATATTTATATATTAAATGTTAAATGCAGGTGCTCTTTGTATTTTTAATTTTCTGGCTTAGCTTTCCTTTAATATTCATCACGCACTGACTGTACGGGGAATAAACAATTTAATTTATAATTCTACTAACATTAGCTAATTAAATACCAAATCCGTAACAATATACAGGAAATATACGCA